ATTGCATTCTCTCAATTAAAAGCTAGATATTGACAATTGGTTCATGTTTCTGACTTTTTCTCAGAGAAAATCAGAGTTTACCAGCTAATCTTAGTTTAAATCTTTTGCTTTACGTCATGATTATAGATAAATGGCAAGGCTCATGTACTGGATGAGATCATCAAATATGTTCAATTACTACAGAATCAAGTTGAGGTAATACATTACTAATTTTACTTAGTACCAACATTAATTAAGAAAACAGAATTAGGAGCAGCTCGCTTTGTTATTATTATGATCCAGTAAGTAACCACTGCCTATTTCCTTGCTCAGTGCCTTGCAGCAAAGCTTGCTTTTGTGGATGCCATGCTATATGATGACTGTGAGCTGAACCCAGGTACAAATCCATGTGCTTCAGATCAGGTAGCTTCATGGAAGCTAAACATAAGTACATTTATAATCTCCTTTTAACTGTACTAATTCCAACAACATATACATAAATCCCCCAGAGACTATGTTGCTTGGAACCTCCATTGCCATTTGTGCTAGAGCCTCCTAGCTCCGTCCAGTTCCGGTCTTTGGCGGACGCTGCACTGCCGGGTACTTCGGCTTCCTTATTACTCACCGAGGATCAGAAAGCCAGCTTAATTCCTCAGCCTCAGGTAGTAGTAACACTTAATAATTTGATGACGAAAGTTCATGCAAACAAAGACTGGTATTAATAATAAAAAATAAAATACTGAGTGATTTGATCTCCTAATTTGATAAACATTTTCAGGATGGTGGAAGCTTTGAGGACATTGGAAAGCAGCCTGCTGGATTAGACCACTCGTGCACCTTCTAAGCTTCTATCAAATTAGGAAAAAGGTCCTTTCCTATGTCATTTTCTGAATCTTTTTCATTTCAGGCAACCAGGAAAAAGAAAGAAAATAGAGGAAAAGCAACTGCATTAAACTTGGCCAGTGTCCTCTGCCCGTTCTGCTAAAAATTAATTAGGAGCATCACCTGCCCCCTTTTTTCATATTGTCATTAATTAGCCTGCATTGTAGAGAATGTTGGTTTTCCCTTGACTTTCTGCATTTTGAAATTGAGATATCGATTGCAAGTTGTTATTATTATTATTATTTTCATAAAATGAATCAGCCACTTTCCAGTGACAACATTGATATGTCGCTGTTGTCATGTGGCAGACGTGCATGTATCATGTGTGTTTCTTTACTACCTTATCAGCTACTTGTCATGAGACAGAAACTCTAAAACTTTGACGTCAATGCCCAAAGGTTCATCTGTTGTTGTGTTGTAGACCTTTCACTGAGACACTGACCAATTTGTTGCCAGCAGATATGGTAAGTAATTAGATGATGACTGGTTAAGCAATGAGCTCAGCAATTTTCCAGACTTTTGTAAAATGTTCGCAAATCTTCTACTAATGGAGCTTACAAAGTGACCCAAGAATTGAAATGATAATTCACCACACGGATTGGGTTGTAGGGTACAAATGGGTTCTGTCAATTGTGTATACACCATAATTAACCAAGCGTGCCTAGCACCAAAGTGACTAACACCAAGGCAGACATGCCTTCTTCCCTGTCAAAGGGAGATGCTCTTCCAAAGGGACAACCACCTGCCGAAGCTCCGAATTGCCAAACCTAAACACAGGAGACATGTGCCATCATCACAGCAACTTGCGCAAAGTCCTACATCGGAACTTTGTGCAAACCTCCTACTTTTACTTCCCTATAAATAGAGAACAGTAACCAAGAAAAGGGGTAACTTCTCTCTCACTATTACTGTTACTTTGCAATAGTCACTACCCCTAGCTGACTCAAGCATCGGAGAGCCTTCGCCCGGCACCACACCGGTGTCCGAAGCTTAACGACTGCTTCTCCCATCTTTGTCTTCTGCAGCCTAGCCCTTTACTTAAGGTCCAGGCCCTTCTCTTGCTAAAGACCATCCCCTATCTCTAAATTGACCCCCTCCGAAAGAGAGCATCAACAGTTTGGCGCCGTCTGTGGGAACTTTGAATACTTAAAACCCATTTTTCTCTACCAGCCCAGCTGGCTCCTTCACCTATCCGGCCCCGTCGCCTCTTCTTCACTCCACACTCAGCCATGCCTACTGAGGATAGCTACGATGCCCAGTGCAATACCCCCCAGGAGGGTACCTCCCAGAGGGGACCGTCGACGGAGGTCAATCTCCAGGTCGAGGTGGAGCTCATCCGCGCCAGTGTCGTCAAGATGTCCGAGAGGTGTGACCATCTTCATTCCAAGAACGTTGAGCTAGAGCACAACTACCGCATCCTGAAGCGTAACTGGGAAAAGAACCAAACCCAAGGCTCCCAACGCAGCCTTACCCAGGAACCTGAGCGCACACAGCCAAACCAGCCGGAACATTCCCACCATAGTCCCCCAATCCAGCCTAGGCCCAGCAAGGGTAAAGGTCCCCTCCATCCGGAGACGACCAAGTCACGGCTTCTCCGTATCTCCCCGCAGAGGAACCGGCCTCATGAAACAACGAAGGTCTACAGGGATTGCATGGACCGTATCCTGGACCGTCAGACGGGACCCCTTCTTATCCCCGTTAATCTCCAAGACCCAAAGGTGACACACCTAGGCCCCCCACCAAGGCCAACCCCTGTGCCTGCGGGAAAGGGTATGGGGGACTCGGATGATTGGGGGTATGATTACTCAGAGGAGCACGAGTCTTACCACACCAAGGATTTTGGTGGACTTAACCCTTATCTAGCCCCTGGCCATCCACACACTAGACCTCCAGCACCCGAGACTCTCCCTCATGCCGACCCGGCAATGAGACTTCTCTTTGAGAAGGTCCGGCGCCTGGAGAATGAGCAGCAGCGCAACCACCAACCCCTTTGGGCGAAGCCACGACCTGGGCCCTTTACCGAACGCATCCTTAATTACCACCAGGAGAAGGAAATCCAGCCCCTCCGCATCGCCTTCTACACTGGCACAGACGATCCCCTCAACCACATACATTCTTTCCAGTCTGCCTTGGGATGCAAGGGCTTAACCGACGAAGGCATGTGCCTCCTCTTCCCATCCACTCTCAGCGGTGCGGCCCTGAATTGGTTCTAACGGCTAAGCCCCCGCACCATCAATACGTTTGACAGTCTGAAGCAGGCCTTCCTGGACCATTTTATGATCCAGACTGATCGCCTCTACTCCGCAGACGACCTGTACATGCTTAGGCAGGGTGAGGATGAGCCCCTTCGGGAGTATGCAGCCAAGTTCAGCCACGAGTACTCCCGCTGCCTAGAAACCGATGATCGTGCCACCTTTGGTGCTTTCAAGAGTGTCCTCCGAGAGTCTAACTTTCGGTACCTAGTGCATAGCAACCCTTGGAACACATATGCTGAATTAATGAAGCAGGCAGCAGTTCATGCCAAGGCTGAGTACTTCAACTCCAAGCATGGCCAGGCCACCCCGGCACATTATCCTTTCGCTGATCCCTCACCTGCTTCAGCACCCAACTCAGCCCCGCCTCAACATTCTACTCCCGCCCCAAGTACCCAGGGTACCCAGCACCCCAAGCGGAAGGATAACTACCAGCATACCTTCAACAATAGCAAGCGGGGCAGGCATAACAACCACCACCAGTCCAGCGGGGGCAACCCACACAGGGCAGGTGATCAGGCTCCACTCCCCTTCTCACCCAAGCCTAGGTTCTAGGTCTTCACCACCCTGAACACTACCTACGAGAATGCCCTGGTGCACGAGGCACCTGTCATACCCAAGCCCCCCCGGAGACCAGGCAGCAAGCCCATGCCCAACACAGATGTCTTCTGTCGCTTTCATCAGTTCGGTGGACACGACACCGAATCTTGTGTTGCCTTGCGCAACATCATTGAAGGACTTATTCGTGAGGGGAAACTGGATGAATACGTGCACAATCTCCCACCCCCACCTAACCCTCACCAACGGCAGATCAACATGATCTCAACTATCAGTGGTGATCGCTGGAACCTCCAACAACTCCATCAAGCATTATGTCCGCTCCACCTATGCGCACCAGGTCTTCAGCGCCGAGCAGGGACGCTTGCCGAAGACCCATAAATCAGGCTGGGCTCCCATTACCTTCTGTGAGGAAGAAGAGCGCGATGTTATTTTCCCCCACGATGACCCGATCATTATCCGCGCCGACATTTCTAACTTTGATGTGGGGCGTATCTTGGTGGACACTGGCAGCTCGGTTAGTGTGATGTTTGCTGAAGCCTTCAACGAGCTCCAGGTCCCATCTCACTTGCTCGACCGAAGCATTACACCCCTGGTGAGCTTCTCTGGTGAGGTGGTCCAGCCCATTGGAAGCATTCATCTCCCAATCTCTATTGGATCGGCACCCCAGTGGAGGACAATCACCACTCCCTTCCTCATTATCGACTGCCCCACAGCCTACAATGTCATCCTTGGTAGCCCCGCCATGGCCCAAATGAAGGTCTTCATCTCCACCCATATGATGCTGCTCAAGTTTCCTACTCCTCATGGCACAGGCACGGTGCACGGAGACCAACTTGGCGCCCGAAGCTGCTATGCTTCAGCAGTAAAATCCACCAACCGCCAACATCGGGGCGAGGCTCTCGCGGTAACCTAGGCTCCAGCCCCGGTTTCAGCTGGTACCGAGCACCCAGAGGACCCCAAGGAGGAATCTGTCACCCCACAGGCCGAACCTGTGGAAGACCTTGAGCTGGTTACTCTCGATGAAGACATCCCGGACCGGCAAGTCAGGATCGACACCTCCCTCTCCCAGGAGCTTCGTTCTGATCTTGTCTCCTTCCTTCTCCTTAATTCTAAGGTCTTCGCCTAGTCATACAATGACATGCCTGACATATTACCTGAGATCATATCCCATCGGCTAAACATTAATCCTACCGTCCGACCCGTTCGGCAGAAGCGTCGTACTTATGACCCAGAACGATATGAGGCCATGAGGGCAGAAGTGGACAAGCTAACAGCATTATATTTATCAAGGAGGTGGACTATCCCACTTGGGTGGCCAATGTGGTGATGGTTCGAAAGGGCACTAAGGGTTGGCGCATGTGTGTAGACTACACTAACCTCAATCGGGCCTGCCCGAAGGATAGCTTCCCCCTACCTCGCATCGACCAGCTAGTTGATGCCACAGCTGGGCACGCCCTCCTCAGCTTCATGGATGCTTACTCTGGGTACAACCAGATTTTCATGCATCCTGAGGACCAAGCCCACACCTCCTTCATCACGGATCGTGGCCTTTACTGCTACAAAGTCATGCCCTTCGGCTTCAAGAATACCGGGGCCACGTATCAGCGTCTGGTAAACAGCATCTTCGCTCCCCTAATTGGCAACACCATGGAGGTTTATGTTGATGACATGCTCGTCAAGAGTCGCACTACTGACCAGCAAATCCCCAACCTCTCAGCCATGTTCACTATTCTGAAGCAGTGTAAGATGAGGCTCAACCCCACCAAGTGTGCATTTGGGGTGGTTTCAGGCAAATTTCTTGGCTTCATGATCAGCTAGAGGGGTATTGAGGCCAATCCAGAGAAGATCAAGGCAATATTGGACATGGCAATACCCAGGACGATAAAGGACATCCAGAGTCTTACCGGGCGTGTCGCAGCCCTGACCAGATTCATCTCCAAGGCCACTGATCGCTGCGCTCCCTTCTTCAAGGCACTTAAGGGTAACAAGCAGAGTATTACCTGGACCGCTGAGTGCGACAAGGCTTTCAACGAGCTGAAGGAGTATATGAGCCGGGCCCCCTTATTGTCAACACCTGAGCCTGGAGACACCCTCATGATCTATCTCTCTGTCTCGGCTACAACGGTCAGTTCTGTGCTCATCCAGACAAAGAACAGTGCTGAGTACCCAGTGCATTACGTCAGCAAAGCGTTACAGGACGCTGAGGTTTTGTACCCGGACATCGAGAAACTGGCATTCGCCCTGGTGGTTTCGGCTCGGCGCCTCAGGCCATACTTTCAGGCTCATACCATTCATATATTAACCAATCAACCACTCCAGCAAGTGTTGCAGAAGCCGGAGACTTCTGGGAGGCTAGTCAAGTGGGCCATTGAACTTGGCGAATTTGATATCCACTACAAACCCCGCCCAGCCACAAAGAGCCAAGTCGTGGCTGACTTTATATCTGAATTCACCGAACCCCATGCCGTGGCCAGTCCACATATTACAATGGAGCCCACTCCTACCCTGAGCCAAGTCCACGTCCACAGCAATGGCACCCTAGACTTGACTCAGACCTTATGGACCTTGTATGTGGATGGCTCTTCCAACGCACAGGAATGTGAAGCTGGCCTTGTGCTCATCTCTCCGAACGAGGTTGTCCTTGAGTACGCCCTCTGCTTCAACTTCCACGCCTCCAACAATGAGGCCGAATACGAGGCACTCTTAGCTGGCCTTCGGTTAGCCAAGGAGATGAGCGCCAGGCAAATTCAAATTTTCAGCGACTCACAGCTCGTTGTCCACCAAGTCAACCAGGACTTCACAGCCAAGGACGTGTCCATGACAGCCTACCTCCAACATACCCGTCATTTGCTTACAACCTTCAATGCTTATCTCATAAGCCAGGTGCTGCGCTCGGAGAATAGCCATGCCGATGCCCTAGCGAGACTAGCCTCAGCCATAGAGCAGGGTCTTGGCCGCAATATCCACATGGAAATCTTGGATCAGCCAAGCACACGGACACCACTCATCTGTGCCATCGATCACAGCCCAACATGGATGGACCCCATCCTCCAATTTTTGCAGAACCAGACGCTACCCGCTGACCCTACTGAAGCGCGGCGTGTTCGCTATCGCTCCGCCCGATACCTGATCATTAATGGCGCCTTGTACAAACGCGGATTCAGCTTACCCTACCTTTGGTGTTTGACCCCAGAGGAAGGTCACTATGTTCTTCGGGAAATCCACGAAGGCATCTGTGGTAATCATTCAGGCGCCCGCTCACTAGCGCATAAGGCCATTAGGCAAGGGTACTTTTGGCCCTCACTTCACATTAATGCCCAAGCATTCACCCAGAAGTGCGACAAGTGTCAACGATTTGCCAATATCCCTAAACTCCCAGCTGAACCTTTAACAGCCATGGTCAGTCGTTGGCCATTCGCCCAGTGGGGACTCGACCTCATTGGACCTATGCCCGAGGGCAAGGGCCAGGTCAAGTACGCAGTCATGGCCGTCAACTACTTCACTAAGTGGGTTGAAGCTGGGGCCCTAGCCACCATCACTGCAGCTCGCATTGAGGCGTACGTTTGGCAAAGTATCGTGTGCCGCTTCGGCATCCCCAAAAACCATCGTCACGGACAACGGCCGGTAATTTGAGAACGCAAAATTTAGGCAGTTTTGTTCCAACCTCAAGATTAAACTTTGCTTCGCTTCCCCAGCCCATCCCCACTCTAATGGCCAGGTCGAAGCCGTGAACAAAATTATCAAGAAGACCCTGAAGACCAAGCTTGACAAAGCCAAGGGTTGCTGGCCAGAGCTACTCCCAGAAGTTCTTTGGGCCTACCGCACCACCTTCCGTACCTCAACGGGAGAAACACCGTTCTCTCTTTCCTTTGGTACCGAAGCCGTGGCACTAGTGGAGATTGGCCAGCCCACATACCGAACCTCCATTTATGAGGCCGAGGCCAATAACGAGCAGTTGGCCCTCAACCTCGACTTCATTGACGAGCTTCGTGACCAGTCCAACATGCGCAACGTCGCGTACAAACAGCGTATTGCCAAGTACTACAACTTCAGAGTTAAACCCCGAGCTTTCACAACTGGGGACTGGGTCATGCGCACGGTTTCCTTGGCCACTAAGAATCCTAATGAAGGTACCTTGGGCCCTACGTGGGAAGGTCCATATGAGATCACCAAGGTTTGCCGTCCCAGGACTTATCAGCTTCGGGATCCCAAGGGCAAAACCTTGCCTCATCCTTGGAACGCTGACCATCTCAAATACTACTACAAATAAACATACCTAGACCCTAGGACATTCTGTTTTCTTATACTTCGGTCTTGAGCCTTGACTCGAACCTACCATTGTACTTTCTGCCCTTCGGCACTCATCTAATAAAAGCACCCAACTGGGCCCCATTTCTACTCATTCACACTTCAGAAGTTGGCAGAATGCATAAAGCAAAAGGATACCAGGCTATCATAAAAAATTGAGTCAATAAAAGGGTCAAAAACCCAAATAAACCAGCACTACACTACTTTGGCACAAAAAGAGTAGCCAAAAAATTTGAACAGAAATACCACAATTTCGCTCACCGTGGGGCTCGAACCCACGACCACAAGGTTAAGAGCCTTGCGCTCTACCAACTGAGCTAGACGGGCCAGTTGACTTACAATTCGACCCCACTTTATATAAAATAAATAAAAGAGAAATTATTCATCACATATATACACTACACAGCAACATGGAACCAAAGAAAAAGAAAAAGCTACAAAGTAACATTATAACATAACGTAGTCTTGATTCATGCGCGATTACATGAGAGTTTCAGTCGAAGATAGAGAAATTAATGGACTCAAACTCAATACTTGGTGATCGTCCAGGATGTCCATAGAACGGCTCCATTTGTTCCACTCCGATACCCAAAAACTCGTCGACCGAGTGGTCGTAAGTGTAATCGGTGCCGGAATCACTGGAACAGAGTGGCGGCCGAATGAAAAACCGATCAATATCCTCATCCAAAGATGGAAACGCTATTCCATCAACGTCAATGTTCTCATCAGCCTCTGTTCTTTGATGATCGAAAGTTGGAAAACTCATTGCATCCACCATATTCATGTTCACATTAACGTTGTCCTCCTCCATCTCTGTTGTTTGAAGACGATGTACCACAGCTGGCACAGCGGACATTTCGGCTGCTCTGATGACATCCAGCAAATTACTTGGGTTTGCATCCATAACACCGGAGACGACCTGCGAATGATCAAAAGGTGGTCTTGGCTTCAAGATAAGGGTGGTCCGTGTGATTGGATAAGTTATTTCTCGCATAGCGTCCCTTTTAGCTCGGAGAACCTGGAGAAAAGTTAAAACTAATTATCAAGAAATTAATTTATAATTAGTTACTAAGCTGTGGTGTATATGTAAACACTTACATATGATCCGCGCCAATCATCTTTAAACAGAAAAAGGGAATCCCCCACACCTAGGTTATGTATCTCAATTAAGCTCCCTGTGAAAAATGATAGTTAATTAATCAGAACATAATTCTGCAAAGGATCTACTAGTATAGTGGTTTGGAGCGATCATTCTCTCAGAAAAGCTTTAAGTTCGAGTTTTAGCATTCGTATAGTATGTGTGAGTTTAATACATTATCGCCCCTCTTAATAAGAAAAAGATCATAACATAATTCTTAAATTTAAAGACATGAAATGATGCAATTAAGTTGGAGATTGAGCTCACTCGTATTATCAAATAAGTACATTCGGCTGGTGTTGTTGGGCCAATACCTGTGAAAAAGATCACATAATATATATAGTTCGTTATTTAAATCAAAGCAAAAAAAATAATAAAATAAGTAGGACTTGGCTTAATGGGAACCTGAACTTGAAAGTCCAAACATGCATAAAGTCCATGTCGTCCAAATGCATCCAGAGTCCATCTCTTCCTTCCAGGACAGGAAAATGGACTTCTGCTTCTCTCTGAAGCAATATGTTCATTATAAGTTGTTATTATATATACATTCAGCTTGGAAATTAGAAAGACTCGATACACATTGGGTCTGTTCATAAACTTATATATATATATATATATTGTGTCTCATATGTATATATATTACATTGTTCCTGATCACATGAAATCATGAAGCCATCTAATTAGTTAACTTAGACTAGTGAAGTGCTCAAACCTTTGGTATAACAATGCGTCCAGTTGAGCTTACATCACTATTTTGTAATTTTTTCTCAAATAATAATCTCATCAGCTCCGGATTGAATACCTACATATCTATCAATAAATTAATAATGATAGCAATAAGCAAAATGATATTAAAATGTGTGCATATTAGTATGGTGTGTACATATAGTGTGGCTATTTGATCATTATAAACATTAGATCATGTGGCATGCTTGTTTTTTCTTTTTCAAATGTAACTCACTCACGATAGAGGAATGTAATATCTCCAAGGTTATTAATTGGTGAAAATTAGTTTAAATCAAAGGGTTATCTTAAATTATAAATAAGATAGAACAATTAATTTGATCAAAAGATATAGAGATATGTTCGAAAGAAAAACGACAACAATTAAAGTGACATAAGACACAAAACAATTGATGCGGACTCATATGTTATTCTAATTTAAGCAGTAAAATCATTATCATGTTATTGATACTCTGCACAAAATAATTTGTGATTATAGTATGAAAACAATACATATGTATATGTATTTTACCTAACTTACCTTAGTTATCATATAATTGACACTAGACATAAAATAATTTGTGAAGATTTTGAAACAGTATACGCTCAAAAGTGATAATGGTATTACCTAACTTACAATACGTAGATGCTAACGTGCCTTTGTGAATATACATGCAGGGAAAGCATTACATGTACATATGTATTAAGAAATTTTGCTAAATTATCACAACAGGAGTTCGATGTAAGATTAGCATTAATTTGTTGTGATCTTAATGGTAATGAAACCAACAGAAGCATATATGACATCTACAATAGTGCAAACAACCATATATATGATCAAAGTACCCCTTTGATTCTTGGGCCCTACTTTACGAAAGGAGAAACAAAAGATGATTTAACCAAAGCTATGTCGAATAGCTCTTCAATTGAGTACTCTGTCATGGATCTTAGCTAGGTTATAATAATTTAACAATCAAAATGAAAAGAATCTGACATATAATTTCAAATCAGAAGGGAGAAGAAATTAATTCGGGAAGTCATATCAGAAAATTAAGTTCAAAAAATTCAAAGACTAAATTCATATCAGAGACATGACATACAATTAAACAGAAATTATATGAAGAGATTAGGGGGAAAACCATAGAGACATCATCTAAAAGTTTATCAGCCATGAGAGAAACCCTAAGTCCAGCTGTGTAAAACAAAAAAACAAAAATCAGTCTTTGAGAGAAAAACCCATACATCGAGGCTGAAACACATAGATCGCCACATATATGATTAAAAATAGCCACAAGATTATCAAAAGAGAAGGATCTAAGCTTACACGGGGCGGTGGAGATGGAGGAGGATGAATAGGGAGACGTAGCGGGCGAGCAGGTGGTTGGTAAACCAGCAGGCAATCTCTCGGCCTTCTCTGACATGGATATCGTCCCCGCGGTGCACTTCTACCTCTCTGGCTCTCCAAAGACCTCGAAGAAGAAGAAGAACAAGAGCATTTGCTGCTTGCTTCAGGATGAATATCACTCTGGTTCCCCATCACAATCTGCTTGTCAGTTGCCTTGCCTCTCACTGCTGCTGCTGCAACCTCAGTCTCCTTGGAAACACCGGCCATTTTTGGGTCCTTTTAATTAATGAATTCTCAATAATATTTATTAACGCTCGCTCCCACAAACACTCACACACACACAGAGTGCTCTCTCTCTCTCTCTCTCTCTCTCTCTCTGTGCATCTGTAGTATGAGGTGTATGAGCTGGGTGGTGACATGCAGGAGAGGGTGAGGTCTGCTTTATGAAAGAGGGAAGAAGGTCTCCTGGCTGGAATTGTCAGTTTCTGGGAATGCGAAGATCAGTGTACGCCAAGGGGCCTTGTTCGGCAATCACCAGATATTTGAGTGACAACGGTTACTCACATAAAGCCGGGATAAGTACTCGTCACCACCACTATCCCATTTTTCCTTAATTACTCTCTCTTAATAATATTTTATATATGATATATGATATAATTATAACGTCCATTTCTATATCTACACATATTTTGTGTCGGTTCATTGAATCTAGCTAAATCCTAATTCCCATGCCACAGTTGAGCTTGAAACCTGCAGCCCGCATTCAATTTTCCCGTTGAAGTTTTTTGTTTTGTTAACATGGGTTGGGTTTGATCGGTTTGTACATATAGATAAATATATATAATTAAATGTAATTAGCTTCCTTGTATATACTTAAGTGTTTATGTTTTTGGAGGAGGAAGAAAATGCAGACAATAAAAGGGTCTAGACGGTAGGGAGAAAGAGGGATAGGGTTGATATGGTTTGAGGGGATTGGGAAGGAATTGGACAGATGGGTTGGAAAGGAATTAGGAAGAAATTAAAAGTAGGGAACAGGTGTTGCTCAATTTCTCAGAAAATAGACACGATATCAATGGTGCAAGCAAAGCAGGGGAAGGTAGCTTCCAAATTCCAGAGAATCCTTTGGAAACGTGATCTTTATGCCTATTTGCTTGCACCACCATCTTCATGCGCTCTACAACCACCGTCTTGTACGTTTCTTCTTTCTAAAAAAAAAACAAAGAAAAAAAAATTAAGTGGAGCCCACAGCTTTCCTCTCTCTAGGAAGGCCTTTGCCTATAAAAGAAGGCTTCCTTCCGTTCGTAAAACACAGAAAGAAACTCTCAATGAAAATATCAGATTTCTATGTTTTCTCTATACCTCAATTCTCTCTACAATTCCTCTAGTGTCATAACACGTTATCAGCATGAACTTCAACAATGACAATATTGAGAACCTGTAGTTCAAATAGTTAAATGGACGACCCTTGAGGTATTATTAATTGTGGTACACCACATATTTCTTTGGCATAAGAAAATGATAAATTTAATAAAGTTCGATTATGTTATAATCAACACCTCAAGGAAGAAATATATTTTGTGAATTCCGGTTGTTAAGAATACACCGCGAAATGGATAATATCAAGATAATGGATAAATTGAGGCTCCCCACATATTTTGTTATATTATATGATCTGGGCCGGAAACCCATGGATCCAAATATATGAGAGATTCCGAACCTGAAGTTTTGGGTATAAACACTACTACATTTTAGTCTT